ATGGAGGCTGTGGGCGAGAAATGTGTTTGCTGCTTTTCTGAGTGCTTGACTAAACTACATTGTCAGTGAAACAATATATATATATATATATATATAGAATATTTTTGGCTACTTTCCAAATCCATGGATTTGAAATATTGATTTGAGAAATTTGTAAATTTTAATTACAAAATTTGTTAGTCCAGGACAATGTTTTGATTTACTTTTAAATAAATAAATACATTTTATATTTAGTTTAGATACTGAAGTCATATTATTTCATATAAGAACTAGTCATAGCAAATATATAGTTCAATTAATTTTATCTAAATGAATATTTACCAAATACATGGTTTTAAAATAACTTGAGCAATTTGTTAGGTTAACATATAGGAAATTGTTTGTTTAGATTTTTAAATAAATAAATAAACAATAATTTAAAAAAAAGTATAGCAAATAGTGAATAAGGATACTCTCTCTCTCTCTCTTTATTTATATATATATATATTACACAATGTAATGTCCATATTATACATACAAAAAAAGTTTTCTTAGCAGCATAAATAGTACTATAATGTCAACCTTTGAATCAAGTTTTTGAGCATAAGGCACCAAACTTACTTGAGAACTCTATGGAAGCGTGACCTGTGCTGGGACATGGTGATGAGGAGGCTGAGGGGGTGAGGCTATGGGCAGGAGGGACACTGGAATTGATTGTGGTGGGAAGGCTCTGGAAATACTGCTCTCCAGGCTCATCTTCCTCATAATCGGCATAGTGATATACTTCCTCCAGGTCCAACTCCAAGGGACGGAAGCCTTTCGGGACCACACCAGGTCGAGCATCCAGGATACTGCCCAGATTAGGTTGAGCCAACTGCTGCCAGTGCTGAAGCGTAGCCGAGCCTAGGAAAAGAAAAAGACACGAGGGATGCTGAGAAGTAGTGTGTGATTATATAACCTTATTTACACAGCAGCTACATCAGGTCAGTGGGAAAACAAACACATATTAACAATGGTGCAATGATGTGATAATGAAAAATATAGAATGAAGGAAAGAAAGAATGAGAATATCAAAAGGAATAAGAAGAAGTGACTTTATTGAAAGTGAAGAGAAAGTGCAGAACACAGACTTTAAACAAAATGAGAGGTGAAAAAATATAAGAAAGTAAAAGAATTACAGAAAGAGAAAATATGGATGAAGAGTAAGACAAAGTGAAAATGTCCATTTTCACTTTGTCCATTAGGTGGCAGTAATAAAATACGAAACAGAATTTCTTCCTCCAAGAACTTTCACAACAAACTTTAAAATCAGTATTTCAATCACTACTTCATGCAGCTTAAGCACTACACTATATTTCATCACGACACTAGAATATATATAACTGATCAGACTCTTTCACATCTCACATACATGGTTTAGCATAGATGAAACAAATGAAGTCCTGCCTTTTTCATCATAGTAAAGAGCCTTTATAGAATATATGAATATGCATAACAGTACCAGCATATGCAAAATAATTTGCATTAGCCATGTAATACAGTGGAGGGAGTTTTTCTTTCAAAATTATCATTTATTTGAAATGAAAGGGTTAGATGACAGAATTTTGACTTTCTGGTGAACTATTCCTTATATTTATCAATTTACAAAAGTATGCCATAACCTGATCGCTAGTGTAAATGTATCCAACAGCGGGATTCTTTGAAGTACGAGTGTTTGCGAGGATGCATTAGCCCCCACAGCGAATTGAAAAGCATCATAGTGGGTAGACGTGGCCTGGAACGGGAACGAAGAAATGTCTTAGGATAGACATTTTGGGTATTTCGGTCACCTTCCAGAGGTTTGACAATCTGGAGCTTGTCGGGAAGATAGGGCCGGCTGGCCCAAGCGCCCAGTGACATAATGCTCTCGCTGTGCACCAGCCTGTTTGAGTAATCTCCACTGTCCGCTGGCTCTCGATTACGCCTCTCCCGCTCCCCCTCGAAGAAGAGACGCTCGCTCAGACAGTTCTGCCGTCGCAGAGACAGTCGCCTCAGAGCGAGTTTGAGCCCCTCAGAGCCAGATCGCTTCTCAGGGGTGTCCACACTGCAGTCAGAAAACAAGGAGAGATGTGTAACTGAAAACAAGGGTCATTCTTAGGTCATTTGTTTAAAATAATTTTAAAGGATGCTGAAATTAGTCACATTATTTGATAGCTTCAACTTTGTTTATTCTGCAATGCAAAATTAAAATAATTGTATTCTTATATGTATGATTTTCCATTAGGAATGCCCGCCAATTTGCAAGTCCCCATTTATCACAGTTACATTGTAAACGTGTTATTTTAAATGTTAAAATAGTGAATTAATTTTTTTAATTAGAATTTTATTTAAATTAAATTAAATGCTTTTATTATATATTTTTACCTCAAAACAACATTTTATGATAAAATGTTGGATTTGTCTTTGTATTTACACAATGTTTAACCCTGGTATGCTATGCAATGTCTCCTATTTAAAAACTGTTTGGCATTTTAAAGGTAGTAATGTGATGAGATGACAGAGGTGAGTTTAGTCGTACAGTATGTATCATTATAATATTTTTATTTAACTTTTAATAATAAATGTTCACATGATACCAAATTCTCAAAGCAGCTGCTCATATGATAAATCAAAAGCTCAAATGTGATTTCATTTCTTCATTTGGGGTAGCAACAAAAAAAATATCAATCCTGTACAACCCTATCTTAATTAAAACTATAATTCAATAATCCAATAATAAAAATAGGCCTACTCAAAAAGACATCCCAAACAATGAATAAAATGTTCAAATGATGAATCAAAAGTTTAAACCTTCATTGCAAATGGGAAATCAAATGCTTAAACTGATCAATTATCAACCTTATAACATTAACATGGTGTGAATTATTACATCTGAATGATAGTACTAGAACTTATTCAAATGATAAGTACATAAATTGTAATGAGTTGAATTAAGTGTAGGTGAAAAATATGACTTTTGGAAATTCAGCACTGACCTTTCCAAATAAAATAATAATGAAATCTTTTAATACAAATGCCACTGATTCCAGAGAATGACCCTCTAACTCAAATTCAAGTGTGCCACTGGCCTTTCAGTCACATGAATATTTAACATACATACATTGTTTCCCCAGCAAAGTAGCGATGATTCACTTAAAGGTCAATTTAAAGTTATTAGCTTACAGCCTCTGTAAACATGGCCTCATAATAGACTCACGCAGCATCTGAGGAGCCGGTCTCCTGGAGCATGCTCTGTGTACGGTTATCAGGCGCTGCATTGTTGCTATTGCTGTCAGAGAGGGCGGAGCTAAGGGAGGAGAGCGTCTGATTGGACCCAGGGATGTTGGTAGCAGAATTAGCAGATCGCTGTCTGACAGACTGGTTGATGTTCTTCACGGTTTCAAACACACGCTTATGACGAACCCTTGAAACAAAAGCACATTTTGTTACGAGATATTTAACTACTTCAGATTATGGCAATGAAAGAAAATATGCTGTATTGGAAAGGAAAAACAGGGAGGAAAATTTCAAACCTCTGTTCTTCATTGTCAGGATTCTCCAGACTCAATTCTTTCCTCATGGTTCCCTCAATTTCAGCAGCCAGGGAGTCCTAAAACACACATGCGCACATACTCACAACACAAACATTTACTAAACTATCTACATGGGGATCTTTTATAGACTTCTATTTATACAGCTTGTTATAAAACCTAACCAACACGCTAAGCTTAACAGAAAACTTTTCTTTGCTATATTTTTACACAGTTTTTACAAATGTGGACATCACCAAAAGGAGGTTTTGTCAGATTTAGCTCAATTTTTTTTCTATTTTAGGCTTGATCTTCACTCAGACTTTTTAAATTCCCCTTTCAATGTGTAAAATATCTGTAAAATATCTAAGAATCAAGGTAATTCTATTTTGCACTGTTACATTTTCAATTAATTTGGTATTTGTACACAATGAAAATTGACAGGGGGCACATCTCTAGCAGAACAACAAAGTGACAGAAATGTCATTAATTAAGGAATTATTATTATTATCATGATAGGATAAGCAGCTTTCTTTTATCAAACCAGTAAGGATTTGAAAATGTTAATATATTTATATAGCTTGTTAAGCTAAGTTTTATCATTTTATCATCACTAAGTAATATCATTTATTAGATTAAAACTCAGTATTATTGTGAAAAAATAGTAACATTTAAAATAACTGTTTACTATTTGAATATATTTTCAAATATATGTTATTCGTGTGATGGCAAAGCTGAATTTTAGTGCACTGGCCTAGCATAAGTTATATAACTCTTTGTGTGTGTGTGTGTGTGCGTGTTTACCATGGGAAAAAGTCCCAGAGGGTGATAGCGTCGAGGAGTTCCTGCGGACACACTGCGGTTCCGTAGGTTCTTGAGCTCCTCTTGAGCCTCATGGAGCATTTCAATGCACTCTGAGTATTTCTCCTCCAGCTCCTGCAGCTGTGTGTGTGAGGAACCAACAAGTGTCAATAACATTTACACAGAAAGAATTAATTAATATATTATGAAGGTACAGGTATGTTTTTGTAAGGTGAAAAACGTGGAATATTGATTTATTATGTCTAAAATAAAGTACCTCGGCTGTAAGCTGTCTTTGAGCATCTTTAGCTGCCGAAAGGTGCTGAGAAAGTTCTTCGTTCTCGACAGCACACTGTCAAAAACATACACAAACACATACAGTGGGTACAGAAAGTATTCAGACCCCCTTAAATTTTTCACTCTTTGTTATATTGCAGCCATTTGCTAAAATCATTTAAGTTAATTTTTTTTCCTCATTAATGTACACACAGCACCCCATATTGACAGTCAGAACACCTTTATCTCATGTATTGTACGATTCATTCACCAATGAAGTGAAAGAAGAAAGACGAAACGATTCTCACCGTTTTGGCTTTTTTCTGCAGGTCCACTATCTGAGAGAGAAGGTGTGTGATTTCCTCCTGCTGGCGAGAGGCATCTTCAGTTTTTTTGGCCAGTTCTTCTGCTATACTGGAGATCTGGATGCTGGACTGCCCTTTATGAGGAGAAAGGGTAGACTTATTTTTGTTTTGTCAAAATACACAGCAATACACCTCCCCTTAATCCCTAAAACAACATATCACTCACTTAACTCTCTGACGCAGTCATTCACCAGCTGCTGTTCCTTCTCCTCATATGACTCTGTCTCAGACTTCAGCTGACTCGCCTAAGGACAAAGATCAAGTGTGTCATTTTTAAAAGTTAAAATATAAATAAGTAAAACTGTTTCATTCCGGTCTGTGTAATTTCTAAGAACATCCAGTCGAATTTTTCTAAATACATCAAATCAAGAGAGGGCATTTAACAAAAGTAAAAAGATTGCAATCTTTGTATGGTGGAGTCAATAAACCTCCAGAAACATGAAATACCATCCATGGTAGTTCACTGTGTGTTCAGAACGACTCTGAATAATAATAAGGTTATAGACATTCGGGTAAGATTCTCAATCTACTGTGATCACAGCATGCACGCACACACAATAGAAATCAATTATTTTTTCTATTCACACATGGAAATTGGGCCGAGGCACACACATTGCCCAGGGCCAAAATGTCTTCTTTCTCTTTTGCTTAGTCTTACCAGTTAGTGTTCCTCATATTTGTACATACACTACCATTCAAATTTGCTTGAAATCATTTTTAGTGAAATCAATGCTTTTATTCAGCAAGGACCCATTAAATGATCAAAAGAGACAGTAAAGACATTCATAATGTTACAAAAGTGTTCTATTTCCAGTAAAACCTGTACTTCTGAAATTTCTGTTCTATCAAAGAATTTATCCTTGCCATTACAGGAATACATTTAAATAATTAAATTAAAATATATTAAAATAGAAAATTATAATAATAAAATTACTGACAAACAGCAATAAACTTTCACTATATTACTGTTTGTACCCACTCCAAACTTTTGAATGGTAGTGTATTTCTTAATGTTTCAAAATTGTAGTTTTTCACATGTGCATGTACCTCTGATCTGAGAGAGATATTTTCCTCCTCCAGGTCTCGTAGTTTTTGCTGCAGAATGTCCAGAGAGGAACCACTACGGGCAGAAACTCCTGCCCTTCCCTGTTGACTCCTGATCCAGAAATAAAAGACTGTATGACTAAGAAATCAATCCTAATACGGGCATATTACGATTCTGCTTGCTTTATTTTCATGATAGAACAACTGTCTGGTTCAACAGAAATAATAAGTGTTGAGGTTGTTGAAAACTGTTGTACATTATAAATTTAAAACTACAGCTGAGAAGCCCTTAAAAACACCTGAGCTGATAATATCCTAACTGAAGCCAACAGAACCGGCTTGACTGGCCTTGAGCGATAGATAAAAGAGGACAGTGTTATAAAACAGTGGACTGACGTGGGCGATCCAGACCCCTCTTCGCTCTCCTCCGCTGCATTAGTGTAGAACTGCAGGAGCTCATCTTTTAGATTCAACTCATGGTGCAGCTGAGCCACCTGTGTACAATAATATAAACACAATTTAAGAATCAATTCATTGCTCACACTTCATGGCTAATTATCATTTCTCATACTATTACTAACAGTATTACAGACATGAAATGAGATCAACCATAAAAAAGCTTCTGACAACCGAGAGACAAATTCACTAAGAAGTGAACAGTATATCAGCAGGAGCTAATCATTTTTAATGAATTGCCACCAGAGAGAAAACTTTGTAATGAATCTGTTCAAGTACCTCCTCCCTGATGGTGCCCACTTGTTCCTCCAGGTATTCGTTCTGCTCTGACAGAACACGGTTCTTCTTCAGGAGGGTCTGACCGATGCGGGCAGCGAGCTCCAGATCCCGCTCTTTCTGTAGAGTTGAGAAAAAGATTTGAAAATCAATCCACTACCGTTTGGGGTTGGTAAGATGCTTATAAGTCTCTTATATACACCAAGGCTGCATTTATTTGATCAGAAATACAGTAAAAATTGTGAATTATTATTACAGTTAAAAAAAAAAGTTTTCTTTTTGAATATAGTTTAAACTTTAATTTACTCATGGCAAAGCTGAATTTTCAGCATCATTACTCCAGCCTTCAGTGTCACATGATAATTCAGAAATCATTCTAATATAATGACTTGCTCAAGCAACATTTATTATTATTTCTTTTTCAATGTGCTGCATATTTTTGTAAATACCGTGATTAAAAAAAAAAGTTTTCTTTTTGAATATAGTTTAAACTTTAATTTACTCATGGCAAAACTGAATTTTCAGCATCATTACTCCAGCCTTCAGTGTCACATGATAATTCAGAAATCATTCTAATATAATGACTTGCTCAAGCAACATTTATTATTATTTCTTTTTCAATGTGCTGCATATTTTTGTAAATACCGTGATTCATTTTTTTCAGGATTCTTTGATGAATTGAAAGTTTAGAACAGCATTGAAATAGAATTGTTGTGTTGCATTAAATGTGTCTTTAGTGTCACTTTTAACCAATTTAATGCATCCTTGTTGAATAAAAGCATTATTTCTTAATCTTAATGACCCCAGACTTTAGCATCATAATAAATACACAATTTCTTTTTAAACCTCACCTCCTCCAGAAGTCTTGTGACAGCGTCAATGTCATTGTAGGTCTTAGTCATCTGGCCCACTCGCTCGGCACATAGTACTGAAACACAGACCGAAAAAACACTTGAGTACATTACACCAGCTTAAACAATTTCACTTGAACCCAAAAATGTCCAAATTAAGAGTTCAGTATAATGAGGCAAACCTCCTACATCCTGACCTTAAAAATAACCCTGATAAGAGAACTCTCAAGCTTACAGACATGTAATATCAGTTTAAGTAGATAAAGAGGAGGGGAAAAAAGCTACTGGCTTGCTAACCTAGCACCATCATGCTCTTACAATAACATCAATGACAAACCACGCATGATTGCCCCCGCGACTGTTTCCATGGTGCTGTTACTCAGCAACCCCATCCACAGTCAGCCAGAATCAGATCAGCCACAATTACTGTTATATCACACACTCATACTACAGTCACACAGAAACAAGCAAGTAGGCCTGTCGCAATAATCAATATATCGACTTATCGCGCAATATATGTACATGACCTCAATCACTTTTGGTGACACAATATATCGCCCATTATATTTACTTTTTATATTTACTTTTCAAATTAATGTCACCATGTTTTGTACATTCCACTTGCGCCTGTGTCTTTTGCAGCTTCTCGTACATAATGCGGTGTAGTCATGACGTGCTCGTTCAAATGTAAAAAATGCTTCTACAAACAACGTTTCATCTGCAGATATGGTCTTGTTTAGGGATCTGTGCCTTTGTGCATACGGACATCTGACTGCTAAGTAGTGATTTGTTATTTGTTGATTTTGTTTTTCAGCAATACAGTGCACCCTTAATTTACAGAGAAAAGAAGGTCAGGGAAAAATCTCCATACAAGTTCTTTGTGCATTTTTCTCTTTTTCTACTTATTACTTTGCACTTTTTGTTAGAAAATTTTTATTTAGTATTTATTCCGTTTTTTTAAGGTATCTAATATTTTGATACTTAATTTTCATGATCTAAATAGTCTTAAAAATGTAAAGTTTGTTGTCATTTGGAAGTGTGTAGGTCTTCTTGCATTATTATGCTGTTACATTATGATTATATATTCAGTGGCATAAAATGGTCTTTAAAATGACAATAATATAGCTTATCGCAATTATTTCTGGGGCAATATATCGCACAACAAAACGTTGTTATCGTGACAGACCTACACGCAAGCACAAAAGTATGCACAACAATAAAAAGTAATGAGATAAAATATTAACTTTCCGATAATAAATAAAACATTTGATACTAAATTCTATGTACAGGATGTGAGCAGGAGGAGCGTTTTTGTTAGAAGGATATTATAAAATAGAAGCTGAACTTCAATATGCAAAACTGAACATTCAATAAAGTCTTCAAAAGACAAAGAATGAACTTAAACTAATAACATATTATTAATGCAGCTGAGTTCCTAAACTGCTTTAATGAAGACTGTATATCTAAAATCAGAGCTCAGCCTCGGGACATTGACTGTAAAGATATTAAACGCTTCCAGACTGGTGATGAGAACGAGAAAGAAAAGTTTTATGAGGACATACGGTCAGACTCTGGAAAGAGAAAAAAATAAGACAACCATGCTGTCCTCTCTACACACACACACACACACACACACACACATAAAGATATCCAGAGGCCTCAGGCTACACTCAAAAAGGAGAAAGAGTAAAAAGGAGAATGTGATTAGCTTTAAAGCACTTCTGAATCTCATCCAAAACATATACAGATAAAACTAGCCCACAACATGCTAAATAAACCCCTCAAAATTTTCAAAAACACCCCTGATAATGAGAAATCAAAGCAGAAACTACTCAAGTAGACACTGAAAGTGCAAATGCATGACTTTACCATCGGCATACTGCTCATAGCACCACTCCAGCTCAAAGTCTTCTGCTCCCATGATCTTGTGCATCCTTTTACTCCCTCTCCACTCAGCAGAGAGGAGAGGACCAGACCAAACGTTAGCGCTACACTTCCTTCCTCCCGTAACGGTACTGAGTGATGCTGAGAGTGTGGTCAGTTACAGCAACAAGAGTAGAGTGACTATATTGAACACTACGATGAGAGAGAGAGAGACTATGGGAGGGAAGGAGTGAGACCAAGAGAGAGAGAGGGAGAGAGAGAGAGAGGGGTTGTGGTGGTGGGGGGATGTGGGACATGACGGTAATGTTGATATCACAAGGTCAAATGTAAAGGATTATAATCTACAGTGTGAACTAGTGGGTCATTCATACTAGTCAGTGTATTTTTATGCCTCTATCACATGACTATGCAATATTATCCATGATTATCATAAGATTATCCAATAAAATATCATTTGTAGAGGTGGTAATCATATTTGTTTTTTCTTATCACAATATGACAATTAAGTCAATTAAGTCAGGTTATTTTGGAAACATGTATTTAGTAATCATTTTAAATCATTTTTTAAGAAGATTCAATCTAAAATGACAATAAAGAAGTTTACAGTGTTACAAAAGACTTGTATTTCAAATAATTGCTGTTCTTTTAAACTTTCTATTCATCAGAGAATCCTGAAAAAAATTGTATCCTGGTTCACATAAAAATATTAGGCAGCACCAAATCTGTTCTTGAGCACCAAATCAGCATATTATAATGATTTCTGAAGGATCATGTGAGACTGAAGTATGTAGTAATGATGCTGAAAATTCTGCTTTGCCATCACTGGACTTAACTACATTTTAAAATATATTACAATAGAAAATAATTTTACGTTTTTTTAAGTTAACAATATTTCACAATATTACTGTTTTTACTGCATTTCCGGTCAAATAAATGCATCCCTTGTTCTGTGACCTTTTTCAAAAATATTAACCGATTAACTGATGTATGATACTGTATATCTAAATTTCAAAGGACAATTACAAACTGAATTTAAAAATCTTCAAAATATTACACTTGTAAATGACAAATAATCAAATAGCATAACTGTCAATCCCTTGCTGGTTAATTTTAGTTGTTTATTTGGTTTTAGGCCTCTTGATAATTGTCTTGACATTTTTTTTATTATTTGTAAATTGGTTTACATGCCTGAGCTTGACCAGAGCATGTTTCTGAAAGTCTGTAATTTTCTATAGAAATCGAAATAATTCAAAGGGCAATGAATAACAGAAACCACCCTAGTATTCTCTCTCGGATTAATTAAGTGCAGTTTTCCATTGGACTGGAATAATTCCTTAACTGTCCAGCAACTGAAATATAATATCGCTGCAGAGTCTGTCAGAAAAAGACTACTAATTACATTATCAGTCATTATGGCAAAGGCAGAGCTGATTTCTCTGTCTTTGTCAGTATATATTAATATTCAGTAATATTCCGTCTGCACAGAAAGCTGATATGAGGCACGATTCAGACAGTAAACATGACTCAGTAGGAGCTATTCAGAAGGGCTTGAGTCAAGAGCTATTACTCAAGAGTATTCAACTGAACATGTTTGAAACATTTAAACTAAAAAGTGTGTCAACTTATTATTGCTTTTCCACACTAGCACATGCAGCAGCCAATCAGTGAAACTTTAGAATCGTGCATTAAAGTCTTTTACATTGATGCATGTGCGTCAGACTCTCCAATATGTCTGATACCCTGGAGGGGAAAATCTATAACAGTTATGTAACCAGAACCAATTTAAAAAATAAAGGCTGCTGAAAGGTTCATTACACAAATTCTCAGAATGCTAATGAAAAGATGTCATTGTTTACAAGTTCAGAGAAATATGTGTTGTTACAAAAAAAAATTGGGAAAAACTATTTAAAGTGGAAAAAACATATGCTACTATTCAACGGGGACAGTATGAATTTTTTTTATTAATACTTTATTCTTTTTAATTAATTAACTTTAAGGATGCATTCGATTTGTCAAAAGTGACAGAAAAAAATGTATCAGGTTTCCACAAAAATATTAAGCAGCTCAGTTAAAGCTGTTTTCAGCATTGATAATAAAAAGAAATGTCTCTTGAGCACCAAATCAGCATATGATTTCTGAAGGATCATGTGACACTGAAGACTGGAGTAATGGCTGCTGAAAATTCAGCTTTGACATCACAAGGATAAATTACATTTTAAAAGTATTCAAATAGAAAACAGCTATAACAGTAAATAGTAACAACAATATTTCACAATATTACTGTTTTTCCTGTGTTTTGGTGAAAAATGCAGCCTTTGTGAGCACAAGAGACTTCTTTAAAAACATTAAAAAACTTTACTGACCCCAAACTTTTGAACGGTAGTTGATCTTTTACTATGAACACTTCTACATTAATATATGATATTTATATTCTAACATTTATATGTTTTAACTTACAAAACAGTTCACAGGTCACATTACAACAACAATAACAACAACTTCACAGAGGCGTGTTAAACAGTAATGGTGACATATATTGCTTGCATAATATGTGGTCTGAGCATATATATGGGCTTACATCAGTTCACTTTATTTTAAACTCTGTACCTCACTCACCAAACAAGTGTGGATACAGTAGAAACCAACACCATCTACTGGCTGAGCATGTCAGTGACAACACCGTTCACTTTTCACAGTGACTTTGATTTATCTTCATTACATATTCCGTTACATCTAGGTCCTTTAAAAACTGAAAAATCAGCAATACCATATTATATGGCGAGAAAAAAAGGTTTTATCATAACTCAAATATCAGAGCACATCTCACTCTAATAGATAAAAGGTAGAGGAATCTGCAGAACTCCAGTCTAGCAATTATTTAGGTAGCTACAAAAGGTTTAAAAGTAAAGTTTTTTTCTGCCAACTATACCATGAAATATAACTTTTATTATTATTTATTGATTTAATAGCAATGCATTTTATATGTGCCAGTTTTCTTAACAAAAATGTATTTATTTTTTATTTTCATGCTTCATGCTTCTAAAACCAGCACAATGCAGAAATGCACAAGATCGACGAATGTTAAAATAAAAAATAATAATTAATTGAGCTGGAGATCAAAAGTATGTGCAAATGTCTATAGATAAAAAAAAATCAACATACGAAAGTGACATAAGAAGTCTTGTTTTCTGAGAAATTGATCAAAATGAAGTGTTTATAATTTTTTAAAAACTGCCAGTGGTCTTAAAAAAAAAAAGCCTATTTAATTCCAAGGGAAAACAAGTTTTCATACCCCACTCACAGATAATTTGTTCTTGTTTTAAACATAAACACACTTAATTTTGTTTAATTTCTCAGAAAACATAACTTCATGTTCAATTTTAATCTCAAGTAAATGTATTTTGATTTAAGGATATTTAGATATTTGCATTGTAAAACAAAACAAAAATATTGAGGAAGATATTACTGCAGCACATGCAACATTTAATGCCATGCCTTTATGAATTTATGATTTTTTGCTCCGATTTAAGACCTTTTTAAGGCCTTAATTTAAGGGAGGGCTGAATTAATACTTTTTAAGGCTTGTAAAAAACCTGTTAGTGGTCAAAATTCTTTCTAATGTTAACAAGCCGGTTTCACTCACAAAAGTAGTTGAGCGTCTCCTCAATCTGCTCTGAGGTGAGGTCTATGCGCGTGTCGGGCGAGATGAGAGGTGTGTGGATCCAGTCGTCGTGCTCATAGCCGTACACACAGTCTGCCCTCAGCCTGTAGACCGGCAACTGCTCCTCCAGCAGACTGATAATCTCCACCTCAGGGAGCTCTGTGCTGTTACAAACATCTACAACAGAGAGAGACAGAGATGTGCAAATCAACACTAGTACGAAACAACACACATTCACACACGTTCTGACCTGTGATTGTTTCTGCGTCCCTGTAGCCGGCATGTGGCGCTTGAAGCACTGGTTCCTCGGTTCCTTCACCTACATACTGCTCTTCTGGGATGGGTCCAAGGTGTACAGGTTCTGTAGGATCTGTTCTCGAGCACTCAGAACTGGACTCGTCCAGCTTGGCAACTTCTCAGTGAGATACTACAACATGTCCAGCTTTGCCCCTCTGTAAACAACACAGACCAATGAGATTAAATATTATAAAACACAAAAACTAAAGTATATGCTGTTTTAGGCCTGATTCAGTATTAGTTATCTAAGGATCTTGCAGATAAATGATTTCATTAACAACCACAAACATGTAGGCCGGTTTGTATTTGTTGCAGTTATCAAGGTTTATTTTTGAGAAATCGATTTTCATAATTCTTGATAGTTAGGCCACCAGGTGCAGCAAGGAGGTTCCTTTAAGGTAATCTAACAGTGGATAGAAAGAAGATACAGTCTATAATAATAAAATAATATTAATAATAATGTCCTTTTCCTTTTAGTAAAATGGCAATAAAAAGTCAATTATTTAAATTTGCAATTGGGCAAGCCAAACTTGCTCTTTATATAACCAGGAAAAACTAAATAGAGGGTAGAGAATGTGGTTATTAACATGTGGTTATTGATTTTAAAAAATCATAAACAAGAACACACACACATTTTAGAAAACATTTTAAATGACAAACATGCTCAGTTCACACAATCCCTGTAGAATGAAACTCATGGATCATCTTAATCATAGAGAACTACAGAAAATATTGTAGTTATTGGCACTGTGCACATACAGTCAGAGATTATAAATCCCACAGAACATCTCTCACGCACACGCATCGCATTCTCGTAAATCTACAGGAATTGTAAAGCATGAGATCACGTGGTTTGTTTTTGTAATGGGCGTGTCTACGCATGTGTCGTCATGACGTTCCTCCGCATCTTCTGCGATACCCTACACCTTGCGTAAACAAACTGATTTTAAGCCATTAAAAATGAACATCTGTATTTCACTGTAGTCCACCTTTTAGCAACTGGTAGATATTATCAAACAAGATAATGCCATGACTGTGATAGTGTCTATATAGATGAATCTGCTTACTTACAATAAGGGAACTCCAGTTCGTGTGGAAATCATGTAACGTTAATTCATTTATCGTCGTCCGGATGATACGCGCGCCACAAATGAACTGATTTCTCCAAATGAACGGCGTTAGTCACGTCAAGCATAAAGCACAGACTTCAATTTTGCTTTTGTCTCTAAAGAACCGAGGACCTAGATTGTCGGATTGTTTCACTATCGTTACACCGGGATTGTTACAAATGTCTTCAACAGCAGGCGTAGAATCTCCCAAACCACTGAAGCTTAATTCTTAGTTCGTCTTATTTTGCCTATCCTGTTCATCATCCTCTCCTCTTGTATCACCTCCGCCGCAATGCCTGTGACGCGTGACGCATGCCTCGCGCTCCTGCAGCAACTCACAACACAAGAATGTCACACAAAGGACGTGACACAGTTTCTCTGCAAACGATTACTGGGCTACATTTAATAGCTTTCGTTATTTAATTTATGTGTTTATTCGCTGATACTATAAACACGAGAAGGTATTTTTGGAAATGACAATCTGCAGACAAATCTGTTAATATTTTTTAGATCTAACTAGTCAATATTTCTTTTAATAATATTCTTAATGTTAACATATTTCACATTTTTACTTGTCTGTTCACCTTTTTCCTTTTTACTTGTTATCATTTTACCTTAGTTTACTTAAGTAGGTCACGGAGTCGGATTTCACAAAAAGCGCATATGTAATGAATGCAAATCAAGTCTTTTAGATATAGCATGTCACACTACAGCACAATGTTGTCACATGCTAACTGCTCATGTACAGATATTCCTTTTTATATTTCTTTGATATGGTTGTGTAGTGCCTTCACGTTCTAGTTTAAAAACTCGAAAGCAAAGTTGGCACACCACAGCTCCAAAAGTAGAAAATAGGCCTATTTGTGACCTTGGACCACAAAACCAGTCATAAGTAGCATGGGCATATTTGTAGCAATAGCCAACAGTACATTGTAGGAGACAAAATTATCGATTTTCTCAATATTTCGATTTTTTTTTTTGCACAATCAGATTCAAGATTTTCAAATAGCTGTAGCTCAGCCAAATATTATCCTATCCTAACAAACCATGGAAAGCTTATTTATTCAGTATAAATCTTTAAAAATTGACCCTTATGACTTTGGTTTTGTGATCCAGGGTCACATTCATTTCTGTTCTCTCCACAGGTGATGTTTCAAGCCTAAAAGCTCATCATCAGTCAGTCTGATGAAGACCCTTGAGTGCTCGAAACCACCTGTGGTGAGAACATAATTATTATTCTACTTTTGGAGCTGTGGTGTGCCAACTTTGCTTTTCCTGTTTGAAATTGTTTTTGTGGTTGAGCAGTTAGCACCCACATTGGGCTTTTGGCCTGTTGGATGTGCGCACTTTGATTGCAGTCTTTCTAGATTTGAAACTTGCCTGATTAAGATAAATCAATGGGAAAAAATCTCCAAGGTTACAGAGCATTTTCTGAATAGAAAAACCCAGACGGAAGGAGACACATCACACATTAAAATCACCAAGGAAAGAATTTATTACAATCAGACAATTGCATATTTATCATGTCTACAGGAACAGATTGATAGCTTGAGGTCTTAAGGGAAAAGTGTGTGTGGATCTATTTCACAGCTTTGTTGCTGAGGTTGAGTTTCCTGTGCACACCAGAATTGCTTGTTGTGTGTTTGTGTGGCAGGGTGGGAATGGGAGGCAGGACAGTTTCGAGCGGAGGGAGAACATGGCCGTCTTTGCGTGAAAGAGCACGGATCTCATCATTGAGAGCCTCGATGTCCTGTGCTTGAGCCGCTACCAGCTGCTGCAGCCTCTGCAGTTCCTGTTTCTCAACCAGACGGCCTCGGAACTGACCCACCTTAAACAAACACACACAGGTATGAATGTCTGCGGAGTGTCCTGCATATACTGTACATTCACAGCTGCAGGTGCTGCTACTGCTTCATTTGTGAATGAACTGCAGTAAATATTGCAGCAGTTCAAGATGGTTTTAAACTGGAATTGAGTAAACTAAATCATGTCAGAAGTTTGACTTTCTTAACAACAAATATGTGAAGAATTCAATAAAGAAAGTGATCAAATGTGAATAATGAATGAAAATACCGTCTTCCGCTGTCTGGCATTGAGTTGTTCATCCAATGCTTTTTTCTGGCTGAGCAGGCTGTTCATTTTACATAGTCTCTCTGTGTTTTGTTTCGTGATTTCTGTCAGGGCCTGTCTTGCTTCTATAACTTTTGCCTGGTAAACACACATAATCATGAAAAATTCCTCTAGATTGGCAAATTTAACATAATAATTGGTTCATTACATATACTACTGTTTAAAAGTTCACACTACAAAGTTCACCTGACAATAGACTATTATTCACATATTAAGTCTGCTAAGAATGTAATACTTTTATTCAGCAAGTATTAAAATGATCAAAAGTGACAGTAAAGATATTTATAATATTATACAAGATTTCTATTTAAAATAAATGCTGTTCTTTTGAACTTTAAATTCACTGAATCCTGAAAAACTGAAGAAGAAAAAAATCAACAGTGATAAATGTTTCTTGAGCATCAAATGAGCATATCAGAATGATTTCATATGACACTGAAGACTGGAGTAATGACTGCTGAAAATTCAGTTTGCCATTACAGAAATACATTGCATTTTAATATATTTTAACCCTTAAGCTCGCCTTTAATAGGGTTTATGATTTTCATCCTTGGGGTCAGATAGACCCCAAACTTTTACAGAGCGATTGTATAAAAAAAAAATATATATATTATAAATGATATATCTTTTTTTTATTTACTTCTCAACTATAAATGTATGCTGTGTTTTCATGGATATTTGGTACTTTTTTTACCTATTTACTGTAAAATTACTTTACACCATTAGTTGGCTTATGAAAAATCATTTTTTTATGAAAAATCTATTTAATGATGACCTAAATTAAATATGAATCGTTTCTGCACATTGGTCTATGTGTTAGGAATAGAATACTGCCATCTGCAGGTTAGAGGAAAAACTTTAGGAATTATAGTTAAAAGAAAAAAGTGCAATGACCACATATATCCAGCAGAGGCCCTTAGGGACTCATTTCATTTTCAGTTCATTTTTTTTGATGTGTCAATTTCTCCTCACAACTTTATGATATCAATTTTGTGAATATATATTTAAATATTCTAAAATACATAAAAAATACAACAACAAAAATCTGTATTTTGTCAAAGGTAATCTAAATAATGCCCCAGACACCTGTGTGTGTGTGTGTGTGTGTGTGTGTGTCATAGATTGTAGAAAAAGATGGACGAGGCGTCTCCACTTCCTTCCACTACAGAAAAGTGAAGCCAAAGCATCTGAGTAATGCCACTGCCATCTTGAGTAAATTACGCCATTTGGAGCCAGAGTCTGCGCAGTAGAGATTCGTTTGGAGTCAGAGTCTGCGCAGTGTCGTGAGTTGGAGCCGCGGTATAAAAACTCCCGCCCAAACTCCCCCAGACCCAATCAACCATAATGACACGGGGAGTTTTTTATAGCATCAAATTACTAGCTAAAATCAAACTTATCACAAAAACGAACAATTAAACATATATCAGCGTGATTACAACTACCTTAAATGACCAAAACCATCCTTCGGAAAAATTTTATTTGAAGTGTAATTTATTTTTTTATTTTGACTCAAGTCCCATTCGTTTACATGGAGAGGGCGGGGTTTATGACCTGTACTGCAGCCAGCCACCAGGGGGCGATCAAAGAGCCCGCAGCTTCGCTTTTCAGGACATGTGAGGCACACCCCATGTGTGTGTGTGTGTGTGTGTGTGTGTGTGTGTGTGTGTGAGTGAGTGAACATGCTTGTTCCATGTTGCATTTGTGCTCTAGTACCAGTCCTTCATTTATGTGTGGAAATTTTCAGATTTATGCCAGATTTCTTGATTTTATATGCCAATAATTCTCTCTGTTCCAGTCACACTTATGTGTGTGTGTGTGTGTGTGTGTGTGTGTGTGTGTGTGTGTGTGCGCGTGTATGAGAGAATGTTCGTTCCACTTTGCATTTGTGCTCTAGAACCAGGCCTTTATTTAAATGTAGAAATTTTCAGATTTAAACTGGATTAATTTAATTTAATTTTTTTTATTTTTTTGACAAATTAAATAAAAAAATAATAATTATCCCACTTATTTTCAATGTGGGGTCATTCTTCACATTTTTTTAAACACCTTTAGAACAACCAAATCAAGCCCAGATTATTTGTGTGTGTTTAGATGGTAGTGTAAGGCAAAGGTAGGGTAAGTGTCATTGTACCTCCCAGTGTTTGAGCTCCTTTGTGTATTTGGCGTCTTGCTCTCTGATCTCCTGTCTCATCTCCTCTACTTTCCTGTTGCCTGACAGAGTCTGCAGAACCTCAAGGTCAACCAGCTGTCCGAACTTCTTGAGCATCAGCTGCTCGCAACGTACTTCCGACCCTGCAAAGAAATATATTTAATAATGTAACACTTTATTCACTGAAACTCAAGTTTAAGGAAATATATTTGTCTCATCCCTCAGTTTGTAAGTAAGCGTTTATAGTATGTTTTTACAGCTGCATTTTACAACTAGTAATTGATTTGAAATAGCCTCTGACCCTTTATTTTGGCCTCCATGTCTTTAAGGTCATGTCTGAGCTGTACGTGTTGTTGCTTGGCGTGTTTATAGAGCTCTCGCTGTTCAATCTTCTCCTGCTGCAGCTCTTTAATGCGCTTCTCCAGATGTTGTAGATCAGCTGTGTTCAGGACCAATGCTGAGTCAAGCTTACCCGGTAATAGACCACTATTCACATATTCAATCTGCTCAGACAGAGAGAAAGAGACAGAGAGACTTGATACAGGATGTAAATTACACAATGAACGATATAACACAAAAGATAATCAGCACGTAATTATGATCACACCTGATGCAGTCTGAGTGGCACCACCACATCCACTTCATTCAGCTTCTGCTGCTTTTCTCGGTTAATGAGCTCCAGATCACCCTCTGCTGCTTTACGATTGGTCTGCACAATCTTCTCCTACAAAAACAAATGTACTGTCTCTTTAGGCTGTTCTGTTGTACAAACCCGATTCCAAAAAATTTGGGGCACTGTACAAATTGTGAGTAAAAAAGGAATGGAATAATTTACAAATCTCATAAACTTATATTTTATTCACAATAGAATATAGATAACATATCAAATGAAAGTGAGACATTTTGAAATGTCATGCCAAAATAGAAAGAAAGGAGAGAAGAGTGGAAAGAACTATTTCTCTCACTTTCTTGGTCAGTGTGTCATACTCCTTCTTTAAACCGTCAACAATTTTTATCTCCTCTTGCAGCTGCTCCTCCACATCCAGACGATGTTCTCGCAACCTCAGTGTGTTCTCAAAAAGCTCGGGATCACAGTCTGAAACACACACACACAGGACATATATTATATATTTCATGATTTATATACATGTATTTTTTTAATGTCTTTGAAAGTCTGA